TTGCTCCCTTGTCAACGGTGTCTAAGTGTAGTGCCATAGGGCTGTAAAACAGCAAGCACAGACAGCCGTTTCTCGCCTTGAATTTCCGTCAAACTTGCACTGCATTGCACATCTCACCAAACCTTTAGTGTTATATACACGTGGTGTACGTTCTGAATCTCTCTGTTTTTGAGGAAGAATGTGTTCCAGGGAAGCCGTTGAAGTGCTTTATTGGTACTTTGATAAGACCAGTTTAGCAAGGTGTCGAATATTCCCGTATTGATCATATGCATCTACAGTTTCCTGTTGTTGACAGGGTATGGATTGCTGTAATATGTGAGAGGATACATGCAGTACAGTATCGTTACCTTGTTGCTGTGAGACACCTCCTTCTTTTATACAAAGCACTAGAATCGACGCCGTGGAACCTGTAACGATACGAAACTAATTCACCAGGGACTAATCTCATTTACAGTTATAGCACTGCAAGAACTATACCGCCGTGCCATCAGCTTCTTCGCCTGATAAATAGTTAGTGCTGTCTCAATATTACGTCATGTGCTTGACCTTTTCTACAACAGTACAACAGTTTTCTACAACTGTACTATTACAATAACAACGTCAAACATCATAATCAAAAACAACAACAACAACAACAATAATAATAATAATAATACTCGTAATTACAATAGTTGATTTAATCTATTTATTTCTTATAATTGTAAATGCAAACTATAAATATATAAATATTTATTGTAAAGAGACACTTTGAACTTTCTCCCTAAGCAAATACATAAAACCAACAAAGACGCGAACACTAATTACGCGAAGTAATTGGATCGCTTTGGGCGTGTTGTCTAAGCGGGTTTCATTTTAAAGCCAGTTTGTCATTGGCTGCACCTGCGGGAATGGGCGGCCTCACCGTGTTCTGATTGGCGCCGGAGACTCGGGACAGGAGCAGACTGACTGAAGTCGGGAGATTATTGCCTCACCTGTGCAGTAATAGAGTCAGCGGCCAGAGGTTGCTTGCGAGGGCGCAACTTTGTGGAATACATAAATAGCTTTAAAGGGTCTTGATTATCCTTCGTATAAAGGTAAGTCGATTTTTGTCGTGTTCTTCATCAGGACCATAAACGATGTTCACGATGCAGCTGTGAAACGTATATGGACCTCATACAAAAGGAAATCAACTGCACATTTCTCTCTGTTGGGGTAGATAATATTGTTAGCATTTCATTTTCAGTGTGCGTACGTACTGTAGGTGTCTCGATGTATTTAAGACTTCGTGAAGACTGTGTCAAGTAAAACTTACAAACATTTTTGAAAAATTTATGTATTCGTCATTTTAAGCATCAATCTTAACGTGAACAATGCATTTTATTCTGCTGTACTAATTAAACACTTTATGTAATGTATCTCTGAAAGATATTCACTTTTGTAAACTGATCAGACTTTTATCAATCTTAACACTGCATTGAGCTCGATTAGCACACAGATCCATACTGGTGTTGCTAACAGTGATCAGTTTTTACGCTACTAGAATGTCAGTTGCGCATAAATATAAAAACACCTCACACAAAACCCACGCACCACACTCATAAATACAAAAATCTGAAGAAGGCTCCACAGGAGAAACGCTGTTTCCTTTCTTCTCTTTTCAGCACAGAATAAACCCTTACTTGTTTCTTAATATAAAAACTCATTGCGTGTTCTAATATACTGTACGGTACGCTTCAGGCATTTTTCTTCATGAATAATAACACGATTAGACAAATTCCGCAAACGGATGTGCTTGTCACGTTCGCTTTCTTGTAGGGTGGTCATTTATTTTCAAAACTGTAATTTGTAATTTTGTTAAAAAATGGCATCCCTAAAACTCAACATTTAATGATTGACTACACCCACCTTCTATGATGAGTCCAGTGGAAAGCCGGTTTCCCGTATTTTTTTCTTCTTGGTCCCATGCTGGGCAAATATTGGCTCAGGGCTATTAAGTACACACAAAGTTATGAAAGTCCTAACAGCATGCAGTACGTCGTGTGGTAGGAGTTTAATATCAAATACTAAACGTTCTTTAGAGAATTAAAGCCTTTTTACATCACGGTAAAGAAAAACATACAGTAGTTTGTTCCTAGAGAGACTTACCACCATGTAGCCTGATCTGTGAAATCTCAGAAAATTAGCAAGGTTGGGCTTGGTCATTACTAGGATGGTAGACCTCCGAGAAAAAAACAGTTTGCTGCTGTTAGTGGACCACTGGGTGGCACTTGTACTTCTGGACCATCCATTTTCTAACTGCTTCTTCCAATTCAGGGTTGTGGGGGAGCCGGAGTCTATCTCGGCAAGAAATGTGTACAGAGCTGGGTACACCCTGAATGAGACACCAGTCCATCACAGGGAAGACACACAGACACACACGCCAGGGCCAATTTTCCCAGAAGCCAATTAACCTACCAGTATATCTTTGGAATGTGGGAAGCCCAAGGAAACATGGGGAGAACATACAGAAAGCACCCCAGATTGGTAATTGAACTCAGGGCCCCAGCCACTATGCCACAAAGTCACCACACCTCTGGATCACAGTTTCCCAACCAGTGTGGTGATGGGGAACACTGCTGGAGGTGCAGTGCTACAGTAAATCAAAGAATGCTTGGTGGTTGTGAATTCCTTGACAATAAGTAAGAGTGGGACTGTTTACCCCAGGGCCCTTGGTATACAGTATGTTGCTTGGGGCTAGCACAATCTGCTCTGTTTTTGTGTTTAACCCCATGTTAAAATGACTACAATCTTGACATTAGTAAAAAAAAATGGCTTTATTTGCAAAGGGGAGTATTGACGTCATCGACAGCAGTCATGGACAGACTGTTGCTGTCTGTGGTTTTGCTGGTGGGTAAAACAAAGGACTATTATTTCTAATGAGAGCAGGTAGGAAGAACTGTAACCATTGTTTTCAGTATGGCAGAAAGTGTTAATTCTCTTTTATAGCTCACAAGGAAATAATGCAAAAATAATCAAACTTCCAAGTCCCGGACATTACATAAAGCACGTAAAAGCCGTTCTCTGGAATATTCACTGAAATTGTATCTCTAACTGCAATGCCATCACATGGCAGTCAGTGTGAAGCTGTCATTCATTATTCATGTGATAAAGCTTTAACAATGAAAGAGATAAAATTGTCAGCCAGCAGGACCCTTTTCAGTTTGTGCCTTGTTTAATGCCTTAATGGTGTACAAGAACCACCAACACTGTCTTCATCAGAGTGTTCATCTTAAAATTATTTCTTACTGCACATCCTCTTAAGCAGATTAACACATCTTATCAAAATAAGTTACTGAATCAAACAGCTATTGGAAAAAAAAACCCAGCTTTAAATCATTAATTTGGAGGATACGTAAAAAAGCTCTTGACATCTGACCCAGGACTGAACTTTCGCTTTTTCTCTGAACTCTTGGTATTATTTTTTATAACTAGTAATTTAGCAGATACTTTAACAGAATCCAAAGTTTGAATAATACATGAATAATTTATCACTAACTGTTACAGCAGAGCCACCAACACGACCTTGTTTTTTTGTTGTTTTTGAAAGTTCAGTTAATTCATGGTTAGGGTAACAGATTGTGAGTCAAGGGCGCTGCTTATTGAAAAGCTTCCATTAATATTGAAAGAGTTTAAAGTCTAGAAGTCTAGACAGTTTTACTTTGGTGGAGGCTTTGGGGGTACTTTCACTTTCTGTATACCACATGGATAGGTATCTGTACAAAGGAAATGTTGTATTTTTTACTTGTACCAGAAGAGCTGGGATTCTGAATGCCCTCACCTGCTCCAATTTCACTGAAACACGCCTTTGGCATGTACACACACAAGTTAGAGCTCTGGCCTGAAATCCATTGTGCTGTCATGGTTTAATTGCACAATGAGGTTTGCATGTGCAGTGATACATATCCGCATCTGATCTGCATAATCACTGCGAGTCCAATCCTTTCAAGTTAAAGTAGGAAGTGACCTGTGTTCAGTGTAGTTAAGCATTAATGATATTTGTCTGTCTCTGTATTTACACCCTTGGGTGTGGCAAAATGTACACCTGTTAGATTTTGTACTATTTTTTCTTTGTGGTGAATGATTAACTTTACTTTTCACCTGACCCAGTTGTCCCAAAAGTGACACTATGTATTAAATGTAATGCTCTGTGTGGTACAACAACTGGCTGTTGGTGGTGTGTTTCCTTAAATTGGTTGTTTGACAAAAAAAGGTATCTTGGTCCTGCTGATGTTCTGCTCAAGCCAGCCCAATACCAGGTGAGGCTGGAGTTAGTGGAGAAATTGTCATTCATATGAGGAAAATGACGACAGTGCTCTTACATTCCTGTAATTAATTGGCACATAAAGAATGTAAGTGGTCCAACACATAACAACCCTGTGATAAAACTGAAAAAAAGCCGGCAAAGTGACGTTCTTCTGACAAAACCTCCGTGCACAGTGAAAGTATAGTTTTTATTTATAGTTCTGGTGATAGTGCACTCAAGAATTGGGAGTTGGTTTAGGTGAGTTCTTCAGCCATGAATACCTCAGTCACTGAATTCCACTAATTAACAGCTTAAAATGTACCTAATCAAACCATCACAACAAAGCATGACATTCATGGGATAGTCACTGACTCATTTTATGCATTTCTAAGCACAATTCTATTTATAGGATGTCAATGTGACAAATTTAAACTTGGCTTTTCCTGCCCATATTTTAAGGTGAAGTTACTGTACTACTGTTTCTTTGGCTAATTGATCACTCTGAAAATTAGAGCAAACAGCTGTTCAGTGCTGCTTAACTAATGAAAGAGAGTAAGCAAATTAAAAAGACAAAATTGCTAGCTGAATAAATTGTGGAAATAAGATATTTTATTATTGTATTATAACATAAAACTTGTATTATTTTGAGTGTCGAAACATTGCATTTTCTGATAACGTAGTTTCAATTTTGCTTTTCAACTCAACTGCTACTGTATGTGTCAAAAATGTGAAAGACCTCTGATACAAGTAATTATCTTTATATTTTTTTATCTGATTCTGAGAATATTACTCATACAAATACAGTTAATTAATAATCATATTGCATTTGGTGCTTTTCAGAGAAAATGTGGTCTTGGAGAAGCTTGGGATCTGTTAAAAGATTCTCAGTAGTTCACTACTCAAAACTGGGGGAATCCTTAAATGAGAATTTAAGGATTCCCTCATATGGAAATAACTTACATTAAATTACACTAAACATTAAACTTTAATGCTTAATTAAAATAATACAATTGATAGTGATAATTACAATGAAATCCAATTACAGTATGTGATTGGTTCTTTTTGCTTGCTTCTGTGCTGTTAGCATACATTAAATGCACTGTTTATCCTCTCTACGTTAATAATAAATTGCTTCCAAATCAATCACACTTGCTAACTCCTCACTCAGGGTGGTTGGTGGCAGTGAAAGTGAACTGTGATCGCTGTTAGTTGTTTTTGATAAGACATGTATTAGCTGGCCCTTTAGGCAAGAGGTTCATTATGAATTATGTTCTCTAAAAATATGTTTGCGTTATAAAAAAACAATGTTTGTGCACAGTAGCTTGTTGTTCAGTTGGTTCAGTTTCAAGCAGTCGCAGCTTCTCACTCTTCACTGATGTTCTGCATTGCTTGTAATTGTCAGAAAATTTACATGGTGAGATTAGTGACAGTTGGATAAGGTTAGACAGAAAAGACATTACATGGTATCTCTAATTTCACTGCATTCAAATGGCCATTTTAAGAATGAAATACAGATTAAAATGATCTTTACAGAAACTTGAACAGTGAAACCATCATGCTCAAATTGTGTTTAATGAAACATTCATATTTATACCTTTTGTACACAGATCTGTTTAGTGATATATTTGGTGTTTATGCTGTACTACTGAGATTTAAAAACTAAAACTGTATTGTCCAGTGGCAGTAACACTTACCTGAGAAAACAATAGTAAAAAGTACAGAGTTTTGGAACACAGATTACTTACAGATTACTGTGGAATATGATTCCAGTTTATACTGTTTTCCACGATCCTGAATCAACACAGTTTATGTTTCTAATTGTTAAACAGCTAGAACGAGGTCAGGCTATCAGTGCTGTGCTGAATGCACTGCTGTTTCAGAGTACAGGGACAAACTCGTGTGATTGGGGTCACTGGACACAGACACTCACCTCAATATGTACTTGCATGTCAATGAACCAGTGATCTAACAAGACAAGACACAGCAGGGATATCAAACATTTCTGATCAATTCCATGTTTCTGTACTAGATTCATTATTAAACAAGAAAATATAGTTTTTACTATCATAGGTTTGAAGCAGCATATTTGAATTCTCAAAGATATATAACTTAACTGAATATGTATAAAAGCTGTATTAATATTTGGAAGATTATATGTGGTTAATGTCTTTATCCAAAGTCATAATAGGAATCTACCTTGCATTACTTATGGTGCAATTTTGAAATCTTACGTGTATCTGAAGTGTAATAAGTTGAAGAAAATAAACAGACAAATTTCAAAAATCCACGAGCTGGCTTGTGTGTACATATACTGTAAAAATAATCTGTGGAATGTAATGGGAGCAGTTCAGTTTTATCAACAAAACGTGTAGAATAGAACGTTTCAAAGGTAAACTGTAAAATGTTTCAGAATTTGCGGTTTTAATAAAAACGAAGAAAAAAAACTTTGTAGATTGCATATTGCCCAGAGTCAATGGTGTTCCATATGTGTTAATGTTTGTCTTCACACTGCAGAATAGTGTGCAGTAATACATGTCATGTGACAGAGGATATAGTGAGCTAATTCCACTCACAGAAATAGACTTAGCTATGATACCTAGCACTTGGAGTAACCTGGAAGCCCATTCATTTGTAAGCTTGCGCATGTGCAGAACAACACAGGGGTTATATAAGAAGATTGGAAAGCCAAAGGGGATTATTTGGGTGGCAAGCATTCTTTATGTGTACTAGAAAATTGCCTTTCATTGCTGAACCGTTCTGAAGCTTTGGCTTCCTTTTTTTGCTTTGTATGCATATGACATTGTTTACAAAAATGCCTATAGTCTGAAGTTACACTAAAGAATGGAATATGGTGAAGAAGGGATCTCTTCAGGTTCTTTATGGTGTCTCTTGCAAAGAACTGAAGCCAGGGTTTGGAGCAGGATACGTGTGTCTCAAATTCCGTGTAAGTGCCAGTGGAAACTGAGACGTTGATTCAGTTTGCACGGAGCAGCAGGGGGTTTCAAACCCTCTTTAGCAGAGGTTGCCAGGTTGTCGTTTATCTACTCATCACTGTGTAATATGACTTGTGGGTCTTTGATATGGATAAAGGCGCGAAGTAAAAAGTTAGCTCATTTAGAAAGCTTTGGTTTGATTGTCTGGTTTGTGGTGAAAACCACAATTGTGCGTGGGAACTAGGTTGTTTGAGAGAAGAAAGCTGCCTTCTTGAATATTTTCTAAGCCTTACTTCCGAGTGCTCTATATATAGCTCGGCTCATCGCAGAGAAATTCTTGCTTCTGTGGTTTTAACTCTGAATGCACACTGGGTAAGTTTAAGGAGAGAACATACGTTTTAAAAAGTCATCACATGCACATATTGAGAATACAGTATCCTGTATTTACTAACTCGCCTCCTCTGGAACTTTTTCCTCTGAGTGTAGATTCGGAGACAGGCCTTTTGGTACCGGCTAGCCAATCAGCCGAGGACCCTGCTCATGCCTCTGTGCGATGCCTAGGAGTGAAGTGCACCCAGGAGGCATTGCCATGGAATCCATCGACAGCTTAGACAGTGCTGGGAGCTGTGACAGTGTAATGAGCGTCAACTCAGGCTATGTAAGTATTATTCTGCTCCATCTCTATTCAAAGTCCTTATTTGCAAACCCTTTCTCTTGTATCATAAGCAGGCACTGAATAATCAGTGTACAGTATATGGTGTATCTGAGTGTATGTTGCTGCTTGAAAAAAAATTTACCTATAAAATGTATTCATTCTATGATGTTTATTAAAGTAAGATTACTGTTAGGATCTTGCCATTTTTCTGTAGACCCTAGTTTTGACAGATCCTTCCCTGTTAGGAATCACACAGGAAAGGAATGAAGTTTCTGAAAGTTATTGCTGCCGTTTACCTTGCAGAGCGATGACAGCTTGGAGCACCTGTCAGCAGAGGAGCGGGCATGCCTGATGTTCCTAGAAGAGACCATTGAGTCTCTTGAGTTGGAAGAAGACAGTGGCTTGTCCAACGATGAGCCCGAAAGTCTACCTTCTCATGGGAACGTGGCTCCTAAATTTGGACATCTCTCCTCATCCAAGAGCAAGCCAGATGGTGAGTGCACCAATGTCAACTGGTTTAGCACCTTCAATAAACCACTGTAGCACCTATGAATAGGAATATGTAAGATTTTATGCAGTGGTATGGACTGGCAGTCTACAAAAAGCAGTGCTAATGGTATGACAAAGACACTGCAATGCTGAACAAGATGACTTGCTTCAAGATGCTGAAAAATAATTTGTGCACTCGATTCTTTTGTCTTATTAGTATGGTTGAGGAAACACATCTTTAAAAACAATTAAGCTCTTGCTTTTGTTTTTCAGATGTCCACAAGCCCCCTTACAATAATTCAATAACTGAGAGATACAGTAAAGATAACAAGCCTACCATGAACTACATGGTACCCACTCCACTGGTGCTGCCAAAGAATGGTTCTGCCACTCTGTCTAGTGCTGGGCGAGGCACAGAGAGCTCAGCAGTGTCAACAAACTCTGAGACCAGGCTGACTGAAACAACTGGGCATTCATTGGGATCACCAGATCCAGACCATTTGGACAAGAAGCCAAAAGAAGAAGATAAAAAGCCAAAAAACTTGGTATCAGACAACAAGACATTCCAGGGCCATTTCAGAAACAAGTCAGAGATCAGCTTTGAGGTCATCCCTCCACCTTCGGATTTTAGGGATGAGCTAGTTACTGTTGGAAATAAAAAGAAGCTTGAGAGTGATCAGACAACCAAAACTCTTTTGAGATCAGACCAACCTGTGGAGAACCCTGATGTGGCTCCATCAAGGCCCCTTTCTAGTGAGAGCCTGGATAAGTTGAGGCAGAAAGCATATTTGAAGAAAACTCCTCAGAATACTCCTGACCTCAAAGATAAGCCACAGTCGCTATCTGGGCTTCCTGTACCAGATGAAAAGATAACTGTAACCTCTGTGCACTCAGACTCGCGTCCTCATCCCACACACTTGCATGACCAGGCTGAAACAAAGATGGGTCCACCAACTGTTGCCCCAAAACCAAAGAAACTTCCTTCTAACATTGTTCTTAAGCAACATAAAGCTTCTCTCCCAAGCCAGGAATCTAACCTTCTAACAGGTAATGAACATTTCACCAGCTCTTCGTCTCCAGATAAAACAACTCTGGACCCACAAAAGGTGAGGATGGAAGCTTTGAAAAAGCTCGGACTGCTGAAAGATAATTTGAATGATTCTGGGTCGACAGTCAACCCTGCACAATCCCCCAAACTACGCAGATCCTGGGAGACCAAGTCTGCCAACCCGCCGAATCTGTCCAATGAGCCAAAAGCTCAGCCTGCTATGCCGGAAATCCAGGAGCCCAGGAGCAGGCCTCAGGTAGCCAGAGGATACCACCAGCGATCGGGAAGTGAACTTCCCCCTGTTGCCAACAGACCCTCACCTGCCAGGCCGGCTGAGGTGAAATCAGCCACCCTGGAGCGTTCGGGCATGGGACTGGGGAGCTACATGGCCAGCCAGCATGCAGACCCCAGCTACAACACGCGCAGTTTCAAAGCCAGCAACAAAGCTCCTGCTTCCCCAAACCAGCTCCGCAACTCCAGGCCTCGTCCTGCCTCACTTGGGACTGGAAAAGACTTTATAGAAGTTCAAGGAAACAGGACGCAGACAGGGAAAAGTACAGAGCCAACAGAGCACGAGACCCAGCGGCCACTCCCTCCTATCACACAGCAGCATACAGCCAACAAGCTGCCTCGTTCTCAGGGCATCAGTGTCCAGATCATGCCCAAAGCAAAGACCGAGGGGGACAGGAAAGAGGCACTGAGGAAGCTGGGTCTCCTTAAAGAATGATGAACCACAGTTTTTTCATTTAGGGCAATAGTAAAGACAGTGACTTAATGAGACACTACATTGAGTCTTTGCTGGCTCATACAGGAGAGACCAGTTTTGGAACTGGTTTTGAGTAAAATTAATCTATGTTTGTGGACAATAAACCTGTTTGAGATTACTGGAGATGTACAGTAAATTAGAAAGAGGACAGTACAATGCTCTCCACTTATTTATGAATTATGGCAGATTAAATGAAATATGAGCAATAGACATCAGATAACTTAAAGTTTAAATCATTTTAAAAATCCCATACAGTAATTTTAATAAGATTGCACAGAGCAAAGTCATGATTGTTATAATTAATTAAACTAAAAAAAAACACAAGGTTCACATTTATAAAGACCCCCTATTGTTAGGATTTTAGAAATCCTTCTGTGTCAGTGATTATGCTGAAGTCTTCATTGTGTCCAAAAGGCTCAAAGTCTTTTTTATAAGATTGTTTCAGTTGTCACAATGTCATCCTCAGGTGTTCTGAATGCCACATTCGCACAGTGGACTTTGAACGGTAGTGTTCAACAATTTGTATTTGATATCTCCAACTGTTGCCTTTGGATTCATAGTTGCCTCCCAAACCATGTGGTTTGCCACCAATCAGTTTATGGTGGCAAAATACTTTTATGTCCTCTTCCTGGCTGGTTTACACCAATAACCTTAGCTTTTTTTTTGGTTCCTTTTTTTTTAATTCAATCAATTTTTTGACAGATAAGACTTTGTGAAATGCTATCACGATTACAGTGTAACTTTGAGACTTTTTAAAAAGACACATTTTCCAGCCCTAACTCATTCTGCTCTATGATCTGTTGTTCCTATTTCATTAAAGTATAAATAAATGTGGAGGGCACTACTGTATATGTATATATAAATTATATAAATGGTTATATGTGTGTATATAACAATGGTTATTAATTTTGGTTATTAGCAGGACCATAACACTGTCATACAGCCCACACTGAAGTGTAACTAATTTAATTTGCACCTTAAAACAGAATTACAGTGTCTGCTGTTGATATAATCTGATTTTAAACAGCTTTAAAACATTAACAAGAGGGCACCATTATATATTTTTTAAATAAAATGGGAACCTTTGGAAAAACCCTATCTTGTTGTCTTAACATTTCAGATTTGGTTTTATGGGGTAAAATCTTATGGTAAAAATAAGGACAAAATTTGTGTAGGTGGTGTTCATAGAATAGAATGCATTACTGTCACATGACAATAGTTGTTGGTCTGCTTTCAGTACAGCAAGAGAACACTAAAAAATATGACACATGATATTTAAAAATATATAAACAAACTGAAATGAAAAGCAAAGCAAATCACAATCATAATCACATGCGTATGTAAATGTTTACCTTACAGTTGGAAATCAGAATTGTAAAAGAGATGCTCATGGGAGGTTTAATAGCTGAGTTCAAAGTTCATAGGCAAGGGGAAAGAAGCCAAGGTTGAAGTGGAAAGTTCTTGAAAGGATCGTTTTAAAACATTTTCCCGAAGGGAGGAGCTGAGAAAGATTATGAGCTGGATGAGAAGAGTCAGAAATAATCTTGTAGGCTTGTGTAAAGGGATGAAATGGAAGGGAGATCACAGCCTATTATTTTTGAGGGTTTGGACATGTTGTCCTTTTGTATACCATACCTCTCCATATTCCCACACCAAATAGATAGAAGCTGTCAAATGCCTTGAATTACGACTGTGTAAAACTGTAAGAAAGCACATCTTCTGCTCTGCCTTCTTAACTATATGATCTGTGTTGCTGCTCCAAGATTGTCACATCCGTATGTTCCCAAGAATATGATGGAATTTGTGGTCATTATAGGATGGGTGGGGAGTTTTATGTTCTGGATATGCTAAATTCAATAATGATTTCCCTACTTTCTGATGAATTGATTTGAAGGTCATTATCAGAACACCAGGTTCTACCTGAGTCAATCACCCATTGGCAAGGGGCCTCGTCATTATCGGAGATAAGACCAACAATAGTAGTGTCATCTGCATATTTGAAAATCTTAACCCGAGATGTGAAGTTGTTGATAAAAAAGGAGAGAGCCGCAGAGATGGCAAGATGTCCTGCTATTCACTTTGACAGTTTGTTGGTAACACATCAGTGTCCAAATGTCCAGAATCCAATGACAAATAATTTGTTTTTTTTCCAAATGCTGGAGTGTACAGTGCAGAGCCAGGTTTGGCTGGAGTGTTGATTGGTTGATTTTAATTAACTGAAAAACAGGTTCCTGGGGCAATTGGGTAGGATAAAATTTGGTTATGTATATTGAGATTCACCATGTATCACAGTCCTGTTTTCATTCTCCTTGTTATGACACAAACAGAAAGTATATTTAACACTAATCATAGGTGACACATCTTTATACAACTCTTTGTTGAGCACCATGAACAATGGTTTTGAAGACAAATCCACAGGATATTAAAAAAAAATTAGTAGACAAGGTCCTTGGATCAATAAACTACTACTGTAGCAACCAAATCAGAAAGGACAAATGTGCTCCTAACATTTCTTATGTTTGATTGTCTACAGTAGTCAGTGGCAATGCTGAGTTAAGTGTTCATTAAAGGGAAATCTGGTCATGCAGGAGGTTTCAAATATACAGAGGGACGGTATCTTTACAGAACCGTGAATAAGATGACGCATGTGCTGATGGGATGGGAAGCACCTTGTGAAAAGCCACACTTTGAGTGATTCAGTAGTGAAATGCTGATGCTACACTTACCACTTAACTCAGGCACCGCAGCCCTGGGCCCCTGCTTTGGAACAGTGTTCTCCATTTGGGAATGCGTTAATTCAGTTCAGCTTCAGTACAGCAAGGAAATACAGCTTCTTTCTTTACAGTTTTATTATTGTATGGAAGGTAAGGTCACTGTGATGAAATCATTCTTTGATGTAGGTACTGTATGCACACTCACTGTATAAAAAAAAAAGCATTCTTTTGCTTTCCAGCTTATTGTGACAATATCCTAATAGAAAATAGTGTTGAATACAATGTGTATTACATTGTATTACATAATGTGTTGAGTACAAGCACAGTTCAACTTAAATCTAAATTTAAAATATGAATTCTATGTAATATATATTACAGGATATATACTGTAAATACACAACAATTTGCTTGTGAGCAGAATAGACTGCAGTAAAACAGTTTTTGTCTGAGCCACCAACACCTGCTACCATCTTCTACATCTGGGTCTGCAGTAACTCAGGTGAACAATGCTCTCTTTTAGTTTTCAGGTACTTTTCATCTACCATTGGAAGAAATATACTCTTTTGCAACAAAAATATAGGTGTTGTACTATTCCAGTATTTCTTATATGGAAGTTCACTATGATACCAAACACCAGACAAATTGGTCTCAATCCTTTTCTACGGTTACCAAATTGTGCAAATATTCTATTTAGTGCAGCCTGTAGTAGTACACAGTCGTGCACAGTTCAACAGAGCTGCACAATCTACTACTTGTTCAGACAGGAATCTGAAACTTGTGGCCATGTGACTTCATACGTAACCACTCTCCTGAAACAGGTTGTTGATCTGTTAAATGCTGGCTTTCCAAAGTAGAAATGTGAGGTGGGGGGTGGGGTTGTAACCGAAGGTCAAAAATATCTTCGTATTGCTTTGTATCAGCTATCGCTTGGAGAATCCTGCTGGAACATTCCGGATTTTACCTGAGGACTGTCTTTAAAGAAGCAAAACGTCTAAGAAATAACCCAAAAGTTTAAATCCTATAACAGGAGTTAGCCCACAGTTCACCAGTGAGTTCATTACAGGCCTAACACTATCAATTGGAGGTAGACTACAACACCTGCAAATCAGTAGAGTTATATATACATATATTTTAAAACTCATCTGCTATACAGTATGTCTTTAATTTCCCACAGAGAAACAATCCCATGTAAAAAAATCTGCACTATATAACAGAGTAATGTGATGACAGCATCTCTGCAACAATTTAGGATTGTGGTTTTCATCATGAATTTAACTGATTATAATTAGAATAATACATTTTCTTTATTGCCTATTATCAGAGTCTCTACTCAAAGTCCTTTAGCATTGATTGTAGCTCTTGACATTTAGAGATACCCCTCACTACCACACCAGCTCTAAATCAGGTAGAAAGACACAGTGTCCACTGATATAGGTGAAATGACTACTTAAGCCCTCTGACAAATACCAAACACCTGTAAAGTGCTGAAATTACCACATTTCTGCCTTTGGATAGACAGTATTGAAGCTGAGATTCCAGTATTACACTTATAAGTAAAATGTATATACTGTATATCTATAAATGTGTTATAGTTCAGTGCTTTTGGTGGCGTACCAAATCTTTTAATCTTTTAATATTAATATTCTCACAGTCTATGAAATGCAATAGCTTTCCGTTGGGGAAATATCACTCATAGCAATAAAGCAAAATTTGAAAAACAAATTCTGCACACCAGAGAGAGTAACTTTGTCACCTGCTGTACTTCAATTCAACTTAAGATGTAGTTTATAGTTCAGGGTTCAGCAGTATTTGTGTTTTCCAACAGTGTCTAAAATGGAAAGTACATGGAAATTAGTGCTTTGTAAATTATTAACAAAAAAGTACATTCCACTGGGCTGTTAAGTAAAGGTCAACATTCAGCCCATGCACTTTACAGTAGAAATGGACCGGTTCCCTTGTAACTTCATGAAAGCGTGCACATATTACTGTAATCATTAATAAATTCCTTAAATGCAGCAATTCTGAATCACCTTAAAATTCTAGCACATGAAGGTGGAGACCTTGGTTTACGTTAGACAGGTTTGTATTCTGTTTTTTGAATTTATATGACTTTATGCAACCAATGTAGAGACTTACAGTAAGTGTAGGAGTGATATGCAACCAAAGTCTGGTGTGGGTTACTTGTCTAGCTGTAGAGTTTTGAACATATTGAAATTTGTTGAGAAGAGAGTTAGGGAGCCCATAGAGTAAAGAGTGGCAGAAATAAGCCTTGATGTAAACATTGGCTGGAGGGGAGTCCCCATTACCTGTAAAGCGCTTTGAGTGGAGTGTCCAGAAAAGCGCTATATAAGTGTAAGCAATTATTATTATTATTATTATTATTATTATTATTATTATGTTATAAATGCATGAATCAGGTACTCGGCATCAGTGAAATTGCATCGAGAGAAATTCCCTAATGCAAGTGATAAAAAGATGACTTTTTTTTTTTAGCCAGCAGTGATATCACCCTGCAACTCACAAGTGGCAGCCCACTGAAGCTAAGCAGGTGTGAGTCTGGTCAGTACCTGGATGGGAGACCTCCTGGGAAAAACTAAGGTTGCTGCTGGAAGAGGTGTTAGTGGGGCTAGCAGGGGGTGCTCACCCTGCGGTCCATGTGGGCCCTAATGCCCCAGAATAGTGATGGGGACACTATACCGTAAAAAGCCACCGCCCTTTGGCTGAGACGTAAAACCGAGGTTCTGATTTTCTGTGGTCATTAAAATTCCCAGGGCGTTTCTCGAAAAGAGTAGGGGTGTTACCCTGGCGTCCTGGCCAAATTTCCCATTGGCCTTTACCAGTTTAATCCTAATAATCCCCATCTATGAATTGGTGTCATCACTCTGTTCTCCCCACTGATAACTGGTGTGTGGTGAGCGTACTGGCGCACTATGGTTGCCTTTGTATCATCCAGGTGGGGCTACACATTGGTTGGGGAGTTCCCATTACCTGTACAGTGGTGTTTCCAGAAATGTGCTACAGTATACAAGTGTGAGGAATTATTAATTATTATTATTATGTATTAATCTTGGTTGGAAAAAGATGAGACGATCCAGTGTGACACCCAGATTCCTTGCTGACGTGTGAATGGGGAGACCATCAGCCACTACTGTGAAGCTCTCAAGCTTTTCCAGACTACATTTGCTACCCACTAGTGAAATTGGAAGAACAAGATGACGCATAACTTGCTCTTCCTCTTTCAGCAGACCGCAATTAATCAGATGAAACAAAAAACACTAGTCAAACCTGTTCAGTCTAACCTACAGTATACACATTAACAGTTGTACAGATAAGAGACAGATCTTATCTTTTCTTGCGTTGCAACATAAGCACTGTGTAATTTCTGTTTGAAATTAGTAAAAGATCATTTAACTTTTAACATTGAAGTCATGACTTACCTTAGAACAAATTAAATACTCAGCAAGGGCCACAGGAAAAAAAACAAAGCCACCATAAATCCTACAAAAATGCAAGATTTATATTACTCTTGAAAGTAATATTTGTATATTATGTTCTAAAAAATTCTAATGACAACTACATCCAGACTAATACATAAATTAATTAATAAAATTGCTGATAATTTTTATTTTAAACAGCAATGCAGATATGACTTTTTTTTAGAAAATCTTCAATAATTTCTCATTTGAATTGATACATTTCAGAAATTTGTATTCACAAGTGCAGAGGCAGGATTGAACTTTTTACAGTTCAATGCCACTGGAGTCTGTCAACAGACATCAGAATTCCAAATACCAGAAATAGACCAGGAAGGTGATGTTTAGCAAACACAAGAGTTCAGTGTTACATTTCCCCTTCTATATTTATTTAAGATTGCTTAGGTGACAAGACGTGTTCCTTTACTCAAACTAGAAAAGAACACACAATGAAAAAGTGCAGGATCACTGTTAGCATAAGACCGATGTGCTTTTAAAAAACTTCCTAGAGTAGATAACACAGATCTCACCAGAGAGGTTGCTAGATGGTTTCACATTCTAGCCCCTTACAAAGTTCAGAATCCCAGTAATTTTATTTATCTATGAAATTATCGACAGGATTAAGGTGATATATGTCAGATTGCTTTGTTATGCCGATTTTTTATGTGACGTTTTTAAAGTCGACCACTGTATACACTTGAACAGCTTGTTCAAAATAGTTTGAGAAAAAAACGACTGCAATGTATTATTACTGTTCTAACAATAACCTCAATATCAATGTCGAAATGTAATGCAAGATGTAAGGCAGTAAGGTGGTTAGGACCTCATTGCTAACCTATATGAGAAGCCAAATAGTCAGCTGGCATGACAGAAACACACTGTCGAATAAGCAAAGAGAAACTAGCACAGAATGCCACCCAGCAGTGTGCGGCCAGCGGTATATCACAAGGATGCTTTATGAAATATTTGAAGATTCATGTTTAAATTTTTTTTTAAAGGGAATTTAGATCAAGAGCTGCGCACAGTTTCTGTTCTGCAGCCTACGAGGAAAAGAGAACAGGAAGGTAATATTCTTCCTTCATCGTGTCACAGCTCTCACGCATACCTTCCTCTACAGTTTATACTGTATAGTATTTCCATCCAAGATGATGTTAAGATTTTTTGTAGGCAAAACTGAAGTGCACTCATGGGGTGTTCAGGCTCATTGTGAATCTTTCATAGGTTTTTCACAGCTGAAATTATGGGTACTATAAAGAAAGAAATCTGTATTTTAAACTTCCTCATGGGACCTCATGAGAGCATCAGTATTGTACATGAGAGTGATAGATCTTGTTTTTTTCAAGATTTATTCAGTCTAACTGTAAATGGGTTGCCTCTTTAACCCTGAACTGGACAAAGAAAATGGGTGGATGGTTTCATTACTCCACTTGGAAAATGCAAACCCTGAAAAAAAAAAACAGAAACAGTACTTTCCTGTTCTTAAAAAAACACATATCCATGTTTTGATACAGTATGTCTGAGTAATTAACAGTCTGAGTAATGTTTCTAATATTATTCTCTTCCTTTTTTGCAGGTTGCATGTTTTTTTGGGGAAGTGCTGTAAGATGCCTCTGCATGATATAATGCTTCACGCCCCAGTTTGCAAACACCCACACTCCCAGACTGGGAACTGATCCACCAGTGACTATGACACATTTAGAGAGCCACTGAACCACATCCACATCACAAGTAATCCTGGGGAATCGGGTTGAAGTTCTATTGGAGGAAGGTTAAACATGCTGGTTCATGGTCAAAGGTGTAACTTGTTACACCCAATGACTGCGCACTACTCTCGCAGGTGTGTTTACTTTAATCTTTTCCTACCCATCAGAAGCACAAGGCGACAGATCTCTAGTTGCACTATAGTTGCGTTTTGTAAGCTTTAAAATCATTATGCAGAATGCCTAGCCGTGTTGAGAAATGAAAGACAACCACAATTAAAACAAATGTCAGTACCAGTTAGTTACCAGTAAGTTAGCTGCAGCTGCTTATCAATTAAGATGAAATTTGTCTTCTATCACTGTTCATTGGCATTAATCATAAGCAGCTAAGCTAACCTTAATTTCATCAATACAGCTGCATAGTAAAATCGATCTTTTTTTATACTGCAGAATATCTGGATGAGTCTATTCTGCTATTCTCAGCTATTTTTCAGGCTGAGAACAGATGCGTGCTCTAGCTCTAAGTCCTACAGCTATCACCTTGTTAAGTGTCAGTCGCGTGACATTCACAGTACAGCTGGTAGGTCATTGTGAAAGTACCACCCCAGTCAGGAATGTTGCACTTAAAACCACACGGCTGGGTGGGGCTTGTGTGCCGTCATGAGGAGACTCTTCTTGTCAAAACCTATCCTTGTGAAAGTAGTTGACCTCATTCCGGTTGGGGCTGAATCTGAGATCTTGAAAAACAATCCAGGTCATTACATTATGAAATGCAGGTGAGACGCTAGATATGAATCTGACTTCAGGATGCCATAGAGTTTACATGCAACAATACAACAGTAGACTATCTTCACATTTTACACAAAGCAAATCAGACATTTGAACATGTGGGACATTTTTGACTGATATTAGGACAAATATTCCACTTCCTGGGACTGTCAAACACAGATTTTGCTCCAGAAAAGAATAGCTATTATACAAAAATGATCACAAAAAAAGAGGAAAGATTCTGCCAGTGTGTGATACCACAAAAAAACAGGTAACTTGAAAATGTTATGTATTCAGACACAGAAGTGTATCTAAACAAATAAGACTTCAAACACCCCGTAACCCTCCTCCTCCTTGACACACAAAATGTAAAGCGAAAATAAAAATTACTGTATTTATTCTGTAGAGTTATGGATTTTGCGCAGATGCAAAAGAGAAACCTGAAAACTGATACTTTATACAAGATTTATTAAACATTTTTAGAACCAAAATATATTGCATTACTATTAATCATATTCTTTTCAAAAGGTTGCCCTCAAGGACAAAGATCATATGTAATTTAAAGTAATCAATGGCACATGCAAAATTACAACACAAATAATGAACTGTTTGAAAAGGTAAATTAAAAGGCACCAAGTTAGTAGCTCACTGCCCTCTAGTGTCACTTTGTGGGGTTCTCATTGTGTATTACTGCTGTTCCATTTCACAGGGAAGGCTGAGCACTTTAGTATTCTGACAGCTAGTTTCTTATTTCAGTCATGTTTTCAAACAACTTTGTGACTATAGTATAGTATTTCTGTATAGCAATCCATGAAATGATACTATACATTCATGCTGGTTTATATAGTAAAATAACCTAAATTTACCTAGTGTTATATCACTTTTAGCTCTATTGCACCTTTTAATTGTATGATTATGGGCTGCAGTGCATTAAAATAATCTTAGAGCAAATATTCATAAATGCTTTCTTCTTGTGAATTTGTATATATTCTAGTTACAGAATGCCAGTCTCTTCATAGTTATGAATTTCAGTTATTTCTATCATCAGGCTCCCATCTGTGACGGAGTAATTTTAAACACTTCTGATATCTGCACTTATTACTTTACTGACTATTATGAAATTAAGGCAATCCAGTAAAATGTTTAAACAGCTGAATTTTGACACGTTTGTGTTGTCATTAACACTGAAGGAAGTAATGCAACACCCATTAGAATACAGATTTACAAAAATGTCTCACATATCATGAAACCAAGTGAAATGCTAGAGCACATCTTAGGCAGGGACTGCTAATGCCACACCAGTGTGAAGTCCCCTTTCTTTCTTGTTTCCTTTTCTTTCAAAATAACATTGTTCATTGTACTCTTTAGGGGTGCTATGGTGGCTAAAATGTAAATTTCCTCTGCACTATCTCCATTCTCGGGTTTCCAGGTTGGGGAACATCCCTCTGTTTCATGGTATGTGGGACGATTTTGTATATTTTTGTAAGCCCGTGTTAATTCTAACAGGTACTGCATCACTCCCATTAGTTTTAATGCACACAAAAAGTGTCAAATGTAGTTGTTCAAAGGTCTTACTGGAGTGCTTTCAATTAACAATACATGGCAGATAAAAAGAGAAAGGCCTCAGAATGCGTAATCCGAATACCCTCACACTGTGCGCCTGCAGCGTGAAACCACATTAATGTAGATTCAAGCCTTGAATAGAGATGCAAGACGGATGCAGCTGAGGAACCTCACCGTGTCATGGGGACGCGGGAAGCCGCTGTGGTTGCTGGTGGTAATGTCACACTTAAAACCAAGCACTGGCTGGCTGTCAAAACCCGCCAAGCACTTCATGATTCAGCAGACCTAACCATCACCTTCAAAATCTGCAACTGCTACATCTTTTTCCGTATGTTTTTCACAAACAAGCAGCCCTCCAGACGATGTATCATAGCTGTGGTCAGGCGAGGTGGTGCACACACACCTGAAGAATAACTAACTTGCTCATTATGACAAAGAACAGTTGAGGTGAATGCAAAGTACAGTTTGAGAAAACGCTGTGGTACAGTATCTGCAACATACATACTGTAGATTTCCACTTGTACAATGCAGGAGGATTCTTATAAGGATGCTGGAATTAAAGAATGGGTCCCACACCCTTTGTACTGCCTTGGTAGATGGCCTATGTTTTGCCACATCAGCACGGTATAGGAAGGAGAAGTGTAGTCAAGCTAAGTCTCACAGGAAGAGCTAACCAGGCTGAAACTGTTGCTGCTACCATGTCCTGTTGTCATGCTAACCGCGCAAACTGTAAAACCAGTGAGCTCAACTTGTAAAGGAGCTATCAAAGCTTAGTCTTCAGACTGTGTTTAATGTGACACACGCGGTGAAGGCTTTTACAGTAGAACTTCACTTGTGCATTTATAAACTGGCGAGAACAAAACTGGGAACCTCCAATACTATTGAAGATTGTCCAAACAGCCACATGTACAAATTAAATGTAGAAGTGGCTGTATGCCTTCTTAAGAGTCCAACAATTGACAGCAGCTTGAAAAAATTATTGAAACATTAAAACATGGAGTCACTTGATTAAACTTAATTTCAATGTGAAATGTTAATAATGGACTCCCACGTTAAGGCCCATGCTCCGAGTATAGCTTGAGCTCTGAGATCCAGACAGCCACACCTCGGGTCACGTCATGACACCACTGTGCTGCACAAACGGAATTAGTTTGGCTTTCCTGGTGAGACAGTGACTCCTGCTACTACCAGGGCAGTGATATCAGTGAGAGACGCCACTGTTGCAATCATCTCCAGCTTCTGTAAAGCACTATGGAACTGGCATGGGTGGGCAGTTCAAGGGAGCATCTTCAGCTTTCCTCACTGTCCCTGTGAGGCAGCTAGGGCACTGCTCTGAGCTCAGACAAGGAATCAAAGACTCCCGATTGGGCAAGTAGGAAAAAAATACAATTCTGTTTTACTAAGCTGGCTACAATTCAGATGTCCATATTATAATACTGTTATTTACAGTATTTCTAATATCCTAACATGCCTCAACTACATTTGAGTAAATTCTAATTTATAAACGGATGCTTACAAGGTATGGGAAAAATTAAGTCATTTCCACTTATCAAAGGGCAGTGTTTGAAATTGGGAGTTACTAAAGCATAATCATGTAACGACGCACCAGTGTTATGCAACATACTGTACAATTTCTGTTTTCACTGTAAGTGTCTTGTACAATTTCGGTGTTATTTTCCTGTTTTAAAGTATCTTGAGCTTAATACTGTGAAAAATAAACAATGTGGATAATAAACACTTATGCTGTCAAGAAAAAACAATTCCAGAGCTGGAATGTTCTATAAGTAGCTGGCAGGAGTAGAATGATTTAGGCACAGTTATTAAAACTATTTTTGTTTTAAGGGACAGGATACAGTAAGTAATCTTTACAAATTTCAGTCAAAGGCATCTTGATCTTGCTGTGAGAAATTTACAGGAGTAAGACGGTACTTGTTGGCCAGTTCTCTGTCTTTGACGATAACCTTGTTGGAGATTTCTTCTTTTGGTAGAAAACTGCCTACTTTGAGCTGAGAAAGCCAAGCCTTCTCAGCTTCCAGCAGAAAACATACAGATTCAAGATAATTCTGGGTTCTTACAATGTCACAGTCTGTTGCCCTCACAGCTGTGGGCTGCTGTGAGAGGAATTCATTTCCAGACATGGAGGTTAAATCCTCTAAACCTGGACTATGTCTTTCCCCATCTTTATTTCCTACCTGAGATGTTACTTCAGTTACTTTTTTTTTCTGAGCTGAGATGTTGGGTGAGTGGCCCATGCAGCCAGGCGAACAAAGCAAAGACTTGGCTAATTCTTTGACATTAGGCTTCAGTGAAAAGGTCACAGCGTCCCCTCTGGTCATCTCTGAATCCACGGCTGAACACTTCCATATATCCAACAGCTTTTTCTGCTTTTCTGTTCTTCCGGTACAAATTAAGGGGAGCTTTTGTGTGGACTGGTCCTGGACATCCATCCAGGAATCTGGGCTTAACACTTTGGATGGAGGGCTATTCTCTTGCGCCACAATTTCAGGAGGCTGGGAACTGTGCTCTGGGGACTCGAACACCACGCCTCTCGCCACAGGGGGAGAAGGTCGGAAAAGCCAACGAGTGGGTTTGACTGAAGTGTCAGAGTTACAAACCTTGGTCATGAACTGTCTCACAGACTCAGGCACCACCACCTCCCTGCTGCTTTTTCTGGGACTCAAGAAGGCAGAGAAGTGAGGGATGCAGGTCCCGATGATGGGTATTATAGAAGCAGGTCTGAGAGCCGAAACAAAGTCCTCCAGCTCCTGGAAGGACGAGTGATCAGAGTAGGGCACTACATACATGCAGGGATGCAGGACAGGCACAGGCCGACTGGTGGGCAGAATGGCCACTGTAGGGTACTGCCTGTTCCAGAGGATCAGAGAGGACATCCTGATCTCAGTGTGGGACACGACTCGGATCCGCCCGGCCCCCGGCTCTGTGGTGAACACATCTGGGAGATTCAGAGCACACAGGGTCTCCAGTCGCTCTGGTTTCACTTCCACCCATGTCTTAAACTCCATAGCCAGCTCCACCAGCAGCGTCTCCTTGCCCAACTCATAGAGGCCTGTGAAAGAGGGGGGGCAAGGATGAATTAGGAATAATAGCACTCACGAACTTTGAAGCAACAACAGTAAAAACAACACTTCTTATTCATTTTCAAAAACAATCAATGCTTCACTCCCCAGGTTACTTGCATTAAGTTTTCTTTGCTTTCTGTTCAAGTGTTATAGCTCCATCCATCCATTTTCTAACGGCTTCTTCCAATTCAGGGTTGCGGGGGAGCTGGAGCCTATCCCAGCAAACAATGGGCACAAGGCAGGGTATGCCCTGGAAGGGACGCCAGTCCCTGGACTGTAAAAGGAAACCCAAGCAAACACAGCGGGAACATATTAATTCCACACCTATAGCACCCCAGGTCTAGAACTGAACCCAGGACCCTAGCGCTGCGAGGCAGCAATGCTAACCACTGCACACCATGCCACCCACATGTTACAGTTAATCATTTAGTATTTAAACATGTGAAGAAAGCATTTCACACTATTATGTGTGTGTACTGTGTTTCCCACTATTATGCTTGCTGTTTTATGAACACACTGAGCGCTGTGAATTCCCCTTCTCTTGTTTCCTTTATTTTTAAAGACAACATTTTTCATCCTACCCCTCATGGCTGCTGTGGTGGCTAGTACAAAAGTTAGCCATACTGTAAGTGAGTATTATTACGTTATAGGAAAATATTAAAGGCAGATTCATACTTCTTTGAAGGTACTAAAGGCAGATTCTTTGCCTACATCTATTCCTTCATTTTCAATGCAGCCTGTATTTCAGCAACAAATAAAAATAAAACATTAAACTAAACATTTTGCTCAGTTATCTATCCCCCAGGTAGTCATAGATGATTCTCGGTATTAAATAAAATAGGTCAAACCTACAGTAATGAACAATAAAGTAGGTCCTGCACCCTTAACTGAGAATAAACCCTCCCATCCAAGAGGACTGAGCAATCTTAATTGCTTAATTGATCAATAGTAATTGACATTACTATAAGAGCAGCTTATCCCCTGTCTCACCGATAACGATGTTATGCTGTGGGTGCTGGCGGATGATCTCCTTGATCTGCTGGGTGGCCTGCTGGCGAGAGGGCAAGGTCCTAGAAGGGTCGCAGTTGGTGTTGTCCAGGTACAGCACGTCGATCTTCTTGTAGCTCCCCAGACAGGGCTCCCGCAGCATGGACGGCGTGTAGCGGAAATCACCTGCAGGCCCAGACAGCTTCAGAGACACACCAAGGAGGAGGGAGGCAAGTGATTTCTGAATGCGTCTGAAGTGCTTGTCAACACACAGAATTTTGTCTTCACTAGTGATGCTGTGCCACATTCTGCTGTTATCATATTTAAAAAATGCACTAATTTCAGAAATACCATCATAGTGGTATATAATTGAGAAAACAACCAAAGGAATTTGTACCATATTGTTAGACGTAATGGGAGGCACAGTAGCGCAGTGGTGAGAATTGCGGCCTTGCAGCACTGGGGCCCAGACATCAATTCCAGACCTGAGGTGCTACAGTATATGTGTGGAGTATGCATGTTCTCCCCAGGTTTGTGTGGGCTTCATCTGGTGCTCAGGTTTCCTCCAGCAGTCCAAATACATGCTGCTAGGTCAACTCATGGGAACATTGTGTCTGTGTCAGTGTTTCTGCCCTGCAATGGACTGGTATTGAGTCCAGAATGTATCCTGCCTTGTGCTGGTTGCTTGTGGCAACCCTGAATTGGAAGAAGTGGTCAGAAAATGGACAGGTGGATATTAGAAGTACTGAGTTCATTTTACAAATATCAGTTTCCCTAATCTGTGACAATTTAGAAAGTAAGGGAATAATCAATGGAAAAGCTTAGATAACATTCTAATTAGGTGGAACTGTATCACTTTTTTTGTATATTTCAGGGTTATCATGAATCCGCAATGATGAGTGCATTTCAAACCACAATTAAACTTTCTGTATAAGGTAATGTGTCCAACCTCCAATTTATATCACAAAAGAGTTGAAGTTTCAATGTATGCATAGTGTTATATTGCTGTCATTGTCTGAGATTCAGAACAAGGCAACAAAACTTCTGTTGACACTTAAACAGCCCCATTACATTGTGAACAAATTTTAGACCAAGCCAGTTTTGCTACTATATTATCTTTAAATCTTTTCATGAAACTAACACATACAGTACAAGTGGCGTTTTCTAGATACATTATCTCAGGGACTACATGGTAACAATACAGTACTTTCAAAAAGTTCACAATTCTGAACACAATTTGAAATTTGTTAAATTTTATGATACCATAAATTAATATTTATATCCCCCTTTTAAATGTGTGCAGGTGCAACATGGATGTTACACAGGGGATGTTAACAGTTAAGTTTTAGAATCTGAGAGGAGGAGATTAAACTCCTGTTGATGTCAGGAAAAAACAGTTTGACATATAGGGATTCAAGAATGAGGAACACAAGCCTTTTTATTATAGCTATGAACCTAGCATTTTATCTACTGCAGAATTGTCTATCATGAAAAAAAGAGATTATACTTTCAAAGTCACATTTACTTTAACCAGGCCAGAGTTACAGAATAATTTGATAATATACTCCCTGCTCCATTTTCAATAGTCTATTTTTAATATCTCTAGTACTATCCAAAATATAAAATGTTACACTGCTCCTCATTTTCAGGGACTCAAAAGTAGGCATTCTAGTAGTGTACTAGTAGAGTGTATTAGAGTATTTGTGTCTCTAGTATTTCACGTCTACACTATACTGGAACTTTAATTTGCTGATTATGAGGAAATAATAGTAATTATCTGGAAAATGACTCATAAGAGATTTCTATGTTAGTGTGGAGCAATGCTGTACACAAGCTTTCAGTTTCAGATGGTGTTCTTGATTTAGATGAAGCACAGTTAATCATTCCTGTTGATAAATGCAGTGAAGAGTGCTTGGCATAAAACAAGCTTCAAATATTAAGGGGAGGTATTTTCATGTGTACACAACCATAACAAAACACAACGCAGGTTAATGAGTTGGATGTATGGGTGTATGAAACACTAGACTAAGAAAGAAAAATCATGTAAACACAGATTAAGTCTATATACCCACGTTGAAACTTTGACTCTTTTGTGACGTAAACTGGAGGTTGTACACATTACCTTATACAGGTAGTTTCACTGTGGTTTGAAATGCACACATCATTGCCAATTCATGATAACCCCGAAATATACAAAAAAGTGATGGAGTTCCACCTAATTAAAATGTTACCTAAGCTTTTCCACTGGTTATTTCCTTCCTTTCTAAATTGTCACAGATTAGGGAAATTGATTGTGATATTTGTCAAATGAACTCACAGTACTTCCAATTTCCGAAATTTATGTGGAAGTATTCGGAATATCATATTTCAAGTAGGCTGATACCAAGTGCTCTTGTATCAAGAATACCTTCCATACACATAAAAAGTGACAGAATCTTTTGCACTTGCAGTGAAATCTTTCCAAGTCTCTGTGGGGTAAACAGAGCTCTGACCTGTATACAGGATGGTGCCAAAGTAGCCTTCAAACAGGAACATGACCGACCCTGGGCAATGGTTGGCGTCAATCACAGTGACTGTCAGCGTCTCCTTGCCTATGTCATCCAGGGCCAGCATGTGCGTCTCGCCCACCTCCAGAGGGTGTATCCATTTCTCCTTCACCTGGGTGGGAGGGAAACATCAGGGGCAACCTGGCCCTCTGTGCAGCAGCTCCTTTGAATGTCATTTCTAAAGTGAAAGGCACTGAACCAGCCAAAGAAAGACGCCACTTCCAATTCCACTAAGCCAACTACAGTTCATGGGATTCCCTTTCCACATCAATTCCTTCCATTGATATTCAGCCCATGGAATCCATGCAATTCCTCCAATTTCAATTCTCAAAATCTATTTATACTTCCTCCCATGTATAAAGTAAATGGTGTGTAAATTATGAAAATCTAAATCCAGTTCTACCTAAACTCCATAAATTTTTACAATTGTGTATTAAATGGTAAGGGACACTTATTTTCTTTAATTTACTGCCACTTTCAACAGTAATAATTTAAATTATGATTTCAATTTGAACAGCTGGTTGAGATCTTTGGATCATTAACTACTAAATAGCCTAGATGAAATAAACTAAATAGCCTTCTTCTTGTTTGTAACCTTTCTTATACTCTGATGGAAAGCTGAAGAGTACCAGCCGTTTCTCCTTGTCTTTGCAAAATCTACACAAAGATTGGGTGTATGGCTGGATCTGAATAGATCTGTGAGGAGGTTAGCTCAATTAACTGAGAACAGAAGTCAACATTCATATCACAATTATATAAATTACAGACTCACTTATAAAGAGAATGATATAACATTCATCAACAGAGCAGTTATTAGTATTATCAGTATTGCTTCTAAAGATCATTACTAAGGCCTTCCATTCATACCTATTTTAGATTTCACTGAATGCAGTTTTTTTTTTGTCTGGGCCACTTATTGAAGTTGTCTTCCCAAGGCAGGGCTTAATAAACTCGGTACTACTGTGTGGTTTGCTGCTTTGGATTTAAAAAAAAAAACCTTGTTGAAGCTTAATTTTCTTCAGTAAATCTTTCGAAAAACTGCTCTGGGGTAAGATCTTTGTGCTGTTGTTTGAGATTCTGCTTTCACTGATGACCAACATGCACCCGAAGAGCACCTATTTGTATTATAATAGTACTTCACATTGCACGCCTTTGTCACTGCTATTCTTTTGCCTAAAAACCAAGCACAATACTCTTTCATCTTTTTGCAAACTTAAATAAGACAAAGAAATCGGATGAAAAGGGGCATGTGACTTAAAAGAAGACATGGCTTGAAAACACCTGCAATTTTCTGCCAAACAATGGTCAAGCGCAATAAGCACGATATTTTCAGATTTCCTCAAATCTGGTTCGAACACAGTGTTCATATCCCACACAAGCAAGGCAGCCATACCTTCACAAAGCACAACAGACTACAAGATAGATTTGAAATCTCAAACAACCTTCAAATCATCATGAAACACATATTGTGGCATTAGTTAACAGAGAACTGGGGAAAGGCCTGCTCACCTGCAGTTTTAACTTCAGCAGCTTGGCAGTGGCAGGGGAGCAGTAGATGGGCCGATTACTCCAGCTGGATGTCAGCCCGCTGGTGTGGTCAGTGTGCATGTGCGACAGGAAAAACAAACGCACATGGCTGCACTTCCGCACTTGCCAGAAATCCACAGCCAGAGGGGTGTGAGGGATCACCTTTCCATTCATGTCAATAAGGTAAGCCCCCACAACCACCTGCCAAACAAACACCAAGGTGAAAACGAGATCATTATAAATGTAGCAACTGCATGTTTATTTTTAAGCGATTTACAAGTCATTGCTGCACTCTCATTTCTCCTTTTATGGATAAAGACAACGCACACGTTTATGTGTGGTAATATGAAAAGTGAAATTCTATCTAAAATATAGTTTATGCATTAAAAATGGATTCAAATGATAATAGCAAGAATCACTCCAGTCTTAAAAAGTTCAAGCTATGGTGAGTGTAAATTAATGTACTTTCTTTTACCGCACTTGGTGTATATATATCTATACATAAGTTTTCACCTAGGATTACAGACACATCTGACCAAACAAGAAATAAAATGTTAAGTACAGGTTAAACGAAGACTAACTTCAATTCCAGGTGCATCAAGGTGTCAAATCAAGAAAGGCGCTGAATAACGAATTTCTTTGTATTTTGCTTTAAGTGGGCACAAAATATAAAAAAAACTAGGAATTCTACAGCTGTTTGCTCTTTCATAACTGTAGTACCGACTTGAGTTTGAGCAAAACAATTGCAATCTCATGACCTAATACCTTACCTTGTCGTTTGTATTTTTTTTAAGGACACCCAAAAATCGACACTTATAATGTAATCCTACTTTTCGGCTGTACTCAGTTACAAATAAGGAAAAAACCGTTTCTACATGACTGAAAATTAGGTACAAAACGTGTAAATACCCGCCATATTTTTTCGCATAAACAATTCCACGCCTTGCTTCCGGGTCGACCATGATGAACGGGCTTCCCGACCAGTCAGCACACAGAGACTTGAGACCCAGCGCTTGACTCTTTTGTCAAATGTTACCAACCAGCTCCTTGTTTTTACAGGTCAGGGCGAATTTGAAACTGCGGAGCAGACACAAAGAGGACGCAGCATATGTTGCAGATGTCTGTACGTCACTTTTTGTAGCGTTGATATTGTCGATTTTTATTTTATTATCTTTGTTCACTGCAATAAATGGTTGTTCAGTCAGTGCGTTGCGTTCTGCTGCCTTGCTGTCTTTAACGAAATTGTAATTCGCAGCTTCAGACTTCCCCCAAACATGGCATAGGTATGACATTTATAATTACAGCACTGACAAGTGGTTTTTCCAGCAAGCGGGTGGGGTGCCCTTAATTTAAACTGGGATTGTCCCTATTGACGAAACATTTGGGAATTTCCTAAACGAGTTAAGATTTGCGGGAATTCTAAAATTGTATTCTGTATTTGTTTCGACTTTGTTGGAGTAATGAACATAATATCCAGTATTAAAAAAGTGATGTAGCATTGATAAACCTGTTACACAAGTAAGAAATGACGGCATATAACCTAATAAAGTATATCTGGTAAGGAAACTGTAGAAATCTTTAAATTTGTTTTTGGTGTTTTGTTGCTGTCCGTATCCTGTTAATAGTAGAGTTGCCCTGGATGAACCGAGGGATTAAAGTAACCAGCAGCCTCGCCCCACGCCTGACCAGGAAATAGGAAAGTGAAAAGCAAAGCTGACTGGCTGTTCAAATAAGAACTTAAATATCCAAGAAGACGATGGCTCCGAAAGATTTCAAACAGCAGACCTCTTCAGTGATCCAATGTCTTTTCGAGGAGCCTGTATTAAAAGCAAAAAGTCTCGTATTCGAAGACACTGTGGTTGCGGACGGTGTCGGAGACGGTAAGTCAAAGTGCAATTTTGTCAAGCGTTTTAACTGACGTTTACTGATCGAAACGCCATGTCGGAAAAGCCCCACACTAAGATCATTGACGCATGAAGAAACGAACTTAGACCAATTTGAGTTCGTTTTTAAATCTTGCTGCAGTCAAGGCTGTATCGTTTTTGTAAATGCACTCTAGTCCACGAAAGCAGTCGTATTACTATAACCGTTTACTGTATATAATCAGCACTTCTTCTGTAGTTGATTGCTGGTGCCCTTTTGTACAGTATAGTAACTGAATACTGTAGGTACCTGTATTTGTTATTTCGAACTTTGTTGTTAGGGTTTGTGCTGCATTACAGCTGTAGCTAATATTAATGATCACAACTACCTGTATTTCCAAGCTTGACCAACATATGAAAGAAACTTTATCTTAGCCCTGATCACTTAATTTGCTACAAGTTAACCAGCTGTACAGTTGAAGTAAGTACTGTACACATCCATACAAACACTACATCATAAACAACAGAGGACGGTTATTGAGTACTTGTAAGTGGAAATGGGGAGTTAATAATGCAGAAACAAGAAAAATTCAGAATTTTAGATAGACCCTTTTCCAAGCACAGAACTACAATTTCTTAACATGTTGTAGTGTATTCTCAGTTGAAATGGTCTTACTTTTTTATTTTAGAAGAGGACTCATTTGACCCTGTTATTATTGCTGATAAGCTCAGGCAGTTGGGGGATGATTACAATGAAAAGGTGATTAAGCCTCATATGGATAAATTTCTGAATCAAGCAAGAAGTGCAGCTGCAGAGCAGGTAACATTTTTTTTTTATTAATTTAAAAATCAAGATGTAGTCATAGATTTTGAAAGATAATCGGCAACAGTGACATTTTTAAAAAAGCAATTCTGTCACATTTCCTGTTCTGGTTGTCTGGCAAGTCTAATACATAATAATATGTAACATTTGATAACATTGTGTTACTACAGGAGTTTTTAAATGAAGTTGTGTATTTCTGACAAAAAAAAATATCAATATTTGGTCTTAAAATGTTCACCATTTGTTGGGAATGGCAATAAATGAATCAGTTTGTTTTGCATTTAAAGTTTTAGAATTGCTGTGAACCTACTACGTGTACACTTCACTTTCCTTTTGTATAAACTGAGAGATGGAGCAAATTATTTAAAAGACTCTTTGACGTTTGCTGTGTGTCCTGTTTATGCAGGCTGCCTTGGCTTTCTCAGATGCTGTGGAGTCTCTCTGCAAGTCCTGGCCCTCTGAAGGAGCAGAGGTCCGACAGGAGAAATATCTTCTGAAGGCATCTGTGACTGTGGGACTATATGCATATAAGAAGTGTCCAAATCTCTCAGAGACCATCCAGAACGTGCTGACTCAGTTTGTGGAGACTCGTCTGGGCAGCTGGATTGTCCAGCAAGGAGGCTGGGTGAGTGTCCTTCCATACCAATTGAAATTTTGTTCAGAGCAGGTGTTGCAATATCAGCTCTTAACAGAATTTTCCGGAGCAGATGAAAATGAAAGCTAGGAAAGAGTTAGTACTTCTCCCCAGTTTGCAAACAGTTTGTGTCTAGGCAGTTTTAAATAACACTTTTAAAATTGTGTAATATTTGCTTTCTAATGTTTGCAGCCTTTGTAATGTACATTTGCAGATTCTCTCTTGGCTCCCTTTTCTTCGCACTTACTAATAGAGAAACATACCCAAAGCCACAGGAAAAAAAAAACAGATGAATGTGAATGAGTTCATAGACCATAGAGCTTAATTAAAACACTACTTTTACTGGCAAGTGGTTCTAAAATGCTCTGATGCTGCATCTCCTGTTTTGTGGTTATATTTTTTTAATCCTTTACAAGGGAACAAGTTTAATAAATAAATAAATGAATAAACATTGAGGGATAGCAAGTCAAGAACAGAAAAAAAAATACAGCTTTGTTACAGTGATCTGCAGATTAGTTTCTAGTGCACCTGCAAAAAAATACTTTATGATTTGGAATTTTCAAACATTTAGAAATAACTATTAAAGGCATTTATGTTAAGCTTAATGAATGACAATGTTCCCTTTGGCCGTGAAGGAGAGGCTTTTTCATGAAATAAATCACTCCATGTTACTACGCAGTAATGAAAGTTCATCAGCGAACAAGTAGAAGCAAAAATCATACAGGAACTGCAAAATGATTTCACTAGTTAGTGTTCAATGAACTAAAATAATCTTGATTTCATATTTCTGTTGGAAGGATGCAGTAACACACTTTTGCAGAAGAGAGAGTAAAATTTTTCAATGCTTATGACGCAGTGCCATGCAGAGCTGGTATTTCTGAAGAAAACTAGACCAGCATAATGAGTCATCTTAAGGGAATGTTAGCACGTGCCAGGGTTAAAGGTTGTTTTATTGGCTGAATCATGTTTGAAAGCCGATAAACATTTTTTTTTGTCTGTACCTTCAATTTGTGTTATTTGTGTTTCCTGTGTTTTGCCAAAAGAGTTTTGACAGTTGATTGTTTGGAAAATTAGTAGATAAACAGTTTTAGTTTTCTGTTTTACGTTACCAAGCATTTCTGGCCTAGGGTTCTTCATGTATGGGGAATTTCCTCAGACAAAATCTAATTACTTTATTTGTAATGTTTTCTTAACTCTTACATAGTAAATAATAGTTTCTAATGTAGTGTAGAAATGATAGTGATCTATACTTTACTATGGATGTAATTTATTAAAGTTAAATGTCGGGTTCTAGTTTGGAAATTAGTGTGAAATGTGATATACAGTACTGTAAACTGATGCACTGCATTTCAGTAAGGGTATGCAGAAGACTGTTCCTTTAAAAGCATCATTGCTGCATTCTTCCTACCCTGGTAAAGCTTGTTTACCTTTCTGATCTTTGCTGCTATTTGGATTCACTTCTCAGGTCAGCTGATGCAATAATGTCCAGGTGTTAGAAGCCAGCCGTTGGGGAGGTTCTTTTGAAGAAAAGAGAATCTATTTTCAAGGGGAGGCTACCTAGTCTATTTTAGGCATTTCTTGAAAGAAGCCAGGGTATCACCTTCAACAATATAGCTGGGTAGCGTGTTCTACTCTCCCACTATCCTTTGTGTAAAGGATGTGTTCATGGCCTCAGTTCTAAGTTGGCCTCCTTGTAGTTCCCATTTGTTCACGTTTCAACATTGGTATTTAGGAAGTCCAGGGAGCTGATTTTGTTAATCTTCTTTTAAACCAGGTTGGATCTTATCTTATCTTATATTCAGGACTATAAAAATTCTATCTTGTTTAAACTTTTAGCCTGACAGTGCATCTATTTGCTCTTCTTTGGGTGGATTCTGCCGGAGCGATATCTTCTTTCTACAGTGGTGACCAAAACTGGACACAGTGTTCTGAATGAAGTCCTACTAGTGCGTTAAGTGACAATATGTCAGAACTCTTTATTTAAGTTCTCCTCTTTTAAGTATATATGTAAGCCACCAGGGGTGGGGTGTAGTAGCAGGTGTCTTAAATATGCAGGTCTCGAACAATAGACAGTTTTGGTGCTTTTATTTTTATACAGTGAGCAAAACAGGCAAAACACAAGGAGAGACGAAATCATACAAAAACCTGTAAAATGATTTCACTTTGTAGGGTTCAAACTAATGAAATGAACTCTTGGTCTTATCTGAGCTCTTAAATGAACTCTTCTCCTCATTTACAGTAAATCTGCCTCATCAACACCTTCCAAAGTTTCCCCTCTCCATTTTGCAACTCACAGTTCAGTGTTCCAAGCTGTGCTCTGTTGTTTTGTTTTAGATTATCTGCCATGATTAATCATTTCCAGTATTTGCACTGCCCCGAAAAGCCTATCCTGGCAGGCGAGTGATGGGGGCAAGGCAGGATACACCCTGGACGGGTTGCCTGGCCAACACAGGGCACATACAGGCACATACAGACTCATGCCAGGGCCAGTTTTACAGAAGCCAATTTACCTACATTTGTCTTTGGGTAAACCACTTTATGCAGAGTTGAATGCTTCAACATTAAGCTGTAGCTTTTTTTTTATTACATGCCCCCATTAAAAACAGACAGAGCAGGTACACAATATATTTAAATTCAGTTTATTCAAAACATTTGAAAATATCATATCAAACATCTACATTTTTTAACAATTTTATTCTGTTTGTGATTAACTGTGAACATTTAACTCTGTAAACAAACTGCAGATACTTTCTGTCTAACCCAAGAGAGTAATGTGATTGTCAGCACCATCCAGCAGAGATCACAAACGTTTTTGAACTGTGTAAGGTTTGTGTTCTGTATCTGTTTTTGTTTTGCTTGTGAGCAAATCATTTTTTCCCCCTTTTTAGGTGTTAACATAGATACATAAAAATAAAAAAGTAGCAATGTCTTTCATAAAAAGAAAAGTAAAAGTGTGGGTAAAAAGAAAAGTATATGTTTGATTCGCTGGTTAATGTTTTTGTGAAATATCTTTTGCATGTTTGGAATGGTTAATTTACTTTTGTGATGTAAATTGAAATTACATGTGTGCTGTATGATGATTTAAGTTTTCATTTTTTTTTAATTTGACCTCAGAATTCATCACATTCTTCTTCTTGGTAAACTAGATCTTCTATTATGTGCATTTTTTAAAGTTAAAAACACTCCAGACATTTTCCTTGTTTTTTTTCTTTTTGCAAGCACGCAGTGTGCAGAGCTTGCACGTTTGGTATGTACTGTATGAAACAAGTAGGTTTGGATTTCTTCTCATGTTAGAATCCTTGGTACTCATGCAGTTTGAATGAGGAAATGAAAACTGGCTTGTCTGATGCTCCCACCTCAACTCCTCTTATGCCGTGGCAACTGCCTGGAAGACTGCACCCTTCTGAGGAGAGACATGTGCTTTCCTAATATCACAGCAAGCCTGTTGGTGCCCAAGTCATTACATGGGTTTGCTATGTCTTCAGGAGCCAAGAAAGCTGTGATTGACTAATCACAACCACACTTCCTTGTGGTGCTGAGTCAGTTCTGAGAGAGCACCTTTGAACCTCAGTCTGCATTCATTCAAACTGTGCTGGCCAAGAAAGGCAATGTCTTGCAAATATAATATAGTGTCTAGGATCTAGATTGACTTGACACAAGTCATTCCTTTGCTTTCTGTTTGTGTTAAAGGTGTGCACGAAATGTTGAAACCTATTTTTCGGTAGAATATGATTTTAAATTCTTGTCTAAAGAGGTGAAGACATTTGAACGACAAGTAAATTATGTGTTTAGATGCCTATTTATTTTCCGTTCCCACAATACGTTTGTAACTTTTTTTTTCTTTCTTAGGAGCAAGTGGCTTCTCAGTAGAGAAATTGTGCAGGACAAAGTCAGCTACCTGAGGGAAAGTAACATCGAGTGTGACATCAGGTCTTCTTGAAACGGCAATCTTTTAGTTCTCTAAACTAAAAGATGTTTTTTTAGAATTCTGTCTGAATGGAAGTATTTATTGCTTTGTTTTTATCTGTCTTTTAAGAAATGGCACTCGCTCAGCTTTCAAGAACTTTTTTTGCGAGCATGAAAAAGCAACTTCATTTCTGTTTGAATCATATAATCATGACAATCACCAAGAAGATTCCTTTAACAAGGACAGGAGAGTTTTCTGATCTCTAAAATCTGTACCGGTACATGCAAAATTCTGTGCAGTTTAGAATATTTTCTTAAACAGCAACATAAAGACAATCTTCAAGTATTGACGAGTGCCAAGATTGAGTGCCATTTCCACTGTGTGTCTTTGCAAAATGCTTGTGCACAACTCCTTCAAAGTCTCATCACGCACTTCCAGACACATTCGATCCCACTTCCTTGTATAGCAGATTCAGATACTGTCTATTGCAGCTGTAGTGCTAATACTACCCCACCTTTGTTTTCTCATAGCTTAGCTTACCAGATGAGTGCACATCAGAGATGTACAGATCAATGTTGCTCATCATGTAACGGAGCTGAACAGCAGCTGAAACTTAAAGCCAAGTTTTGTGGGTGAGAGTGCACACGGTATATAGAATGAAAGATCAAAAACAAACAAACAATGTAAGAATGGAAGAAAAGTGAGGCAAAATATTTAATGTTGCTTCTGATTTAAAAACTGAGCAATCAGCTGTTAGAATTAATCACCATAATCACCTTTATGAATTAAGTTTCTCGGTAAAGGGAATATATTGCCAAAACCAACAGAATCCTGTCAACTTTTCTATTACACCAAACTGCACTGATTGAATAATTTAAATTTATTTTTTTGGAAAGCCCTATAGCACATCTGTTATAATCTTTAACATAGCATGCTTTTGAATTCTTATTTCTAAAATGAAATAAAGCAATAAGGAGTGTTTGTACCGTAATTTTTGTTAGTACAGTTTTTCATTTTTATGGGTGTCGCACTCACTTGTGTTTTTTCATATAGTACATTTAGAGTAGACCCTGTCACCTATGATAGAGAGAATTTGGTCAAGTGTACCAAAGCACCAAAGTGTACCAAGTGTTTTTCTCAGTGGAAGGTAAAAATGAGTGTTTGCTAGTAATATCATAGGTACTGTAGTAAGCATATTAATTACATTTCTGAGTTTTTTAAAAATGTATCATTATCATCTCAAGCACACATTGTATTACTTCAATGAACATATGTAGCACCTGCAACTTTGATCACTACACTTTTGTAGCTCCTAGCCACAAAACTACTGTATATAGAGGTTAGGTGTCCAAAATTTAAACCAATAAATTAATTGATAGTACACTGCTATTGTGAAAGTAAGATACACCTAATCTAGTTGCCATCTTGACTTAATTCTTAAAAGATAAGGTCTTAAAAATCTCTAAAATTTCAGAAATTGAAAGGTTAGTGCACTGTTGTAACAGGATTTTTCCCCTGTATGTACAGTAGAAGCCTAGTTTCTATAACCATGCATGATTTACAATACTACATAATCTCTTTACATTTCTAGACACTCTTATATCCCCTATTGGTTAATTTTTCAGCCATAAGTGAGGTGCTGTCTCTTCAAATCACTGACACATCTTTGACATTGGAGGCTACAGTTTATTTCTGAGTTGTTGACTTTCAAATATACCACAAAAGTAGAGAATAGCTGATTTGTCCACCTCAAGCAGGAAGATATGGAACCAATCACGTGATCGTATCGCAGAATGTGAAATCTGCCATCTGTCGTTTTGGTTAGGTTGTGTCTTGTTGCATGAAATGTTGCATAAACGTACTATTGATGTTTTTTTTGGCTACCAGACACTCTAAATGCTTGAAGCTGTTTCAATGGACATTTTAGCCAGATCCACCGTTACCTTCATCAGTGCTCTGGCGGCCCCTGCACCACCATTCATGCCACTTGAGGCCACAAGCTTTCCTGTACATGTTCAAGAGAGATCACCTCATCGACCACTGAAGTGCTGTACCCACCAGGGTGACGTATGACATTAATGCTGCCCCACTACATAGCAGAATAGGAGGAGAAGTGAGAAATTGCTTCACCAGTTGAAATCGGGGGGAGCTGTAGGGAGATCAAGTTGTATAAGCTCAGAGCAGAGGTTAAGCAAACGTATCTTACTTTGACATCTGAGCATCTCATCCAAAGGACTGCACCTGCTACAGTAGTGTTTCTGATCACCATCGGGGTATACTACATTATTGTTTTTTGTTTATTTGTGGTGCAGAAAAATGAATGTCCATCTACTGGTCCACCAACACAACACACAGCAGTAATGTGTTTTTTCCTGAGAAGTCTCCCAGTTGAGCCTGGTTTAGTTTTTGAGATCCGACAGGATCAGGCTAGTAGCTGGTAATGCTGCTGCCAACATCAGATTTCTTTACTACAGCACTCTGATGATAGGATCCTAGTCTGCAGCTATTTTACAGCCCTTAGAAAACATAGGCCATTCCCAGTACTTAGAAAATTGGACAAGTCACTCTTATGGATGATGCCATTGGGCAGTACAAGGGATGTTATATTACACTGCCTCACATTCCTGAGCAATAAAACATAATCAAAACATCCTGTTTTTAATTATGAATGTCTTCTACAAAAGAGTCTTTAAATAATCTTGATACCTAATTATTTAAAAAACGGCATAAAACACTTTGTGAAAATGTCTTGTAAGACAAATATTTGGTGATGACCCTGCTCATGGAAGAGTGTGAAATTAGTGGTCAGCTAAATGAAATCTGAGCATTAAATGAGAGTGAAGGCAATTGTGTGTGTGGTGAACAGTCTATAGAGTATGTACTGTAACTTGATACATAGAATTTATTTCATTTCAGGTTGGATAGGCTTTATTAACCTGAAAAATAAACCACAAATTGGTATCTTCATTCATTTTGTAGTCTTCATGCTGTGCACATTGTATAGATGCAATAAACATTGACACAATGTTTTTAAAATTAATTTTATTGTTCTAATTTTAAATGTTGGGAATTCTTAATGAAATTAAAATAAAAGGTAAAATGAATAAACTTGTTTACGGGTCCTGTAATTTAAATGTTTTGCTGCATGATAGCTATGTGTGTACTAGGTGATTTTTTGTCATCTTGTAGAGTAATTCTTACCTGTTAAGGGTGTACCAATATTACTGAATAACTTCTACTACTGAATATAGGGAGTATATAGGTAGATTTTGTTTTTTATCTGCATTAAGCTTTTTGTGCTCCCATAATTGCATGGAAGACCCAGAGCCAACCAATGATCTTTTATTATGTTTTGGAGATGATGAAGAGAAAAACAGAAGAGGAGAAATGCTTTCCATTATTTCAGTCAGTCAACATTGTCGTAGGCTGTCCCACCTGTCACTGTTTGTGAGATCAACTTAATAAAAGTTCTGTAGAAAGACAGGCCATAGTTTCTGCCCTTCACCAGCTCTATAGGGGATAAGTACCTAGTAATGCCTACAGCCCTTCTCCAGTCTCAGTGCCAGTACAGTGGCACAGTTTTCAGTAGTTTGGCTTCGATCTTAATGAATGTGATAGATAAATATTTGGTGTGACTCACCTACAGTAGCAAAGAGAACGGCAGCCTCCCTGACAGAATACCTGCCCAAACTCCCCTCACTGTTGAGAGGAATGAGCTAGGAAGCTGCTGCAAGGGTGTAGATGGGGAGGCAGGGGGGCTGCAAGATACTGTACAGTATATGCAAAGGGGAGCTGAAGTGTGCAAGGTTAGGATCTGGCCTGGTACACAGGTACCAGTTTTCTCATCCATATATCCAGGGAGTTTTCCTTTAAAGCATACGGGTTAAAGCCGAAATAAATACCCTTTCCCTACACTACTTTCATTACTGAAGTATGTTAATATTTTCAGAAATACAAAAGAAAAGTCTCAGAGGACTTCCTGTAACTACCATCAAGCCCTAATACCCGGAAACAAGTCCAACAGCTTGGAAATCGAATTTTTATGCTGGCAATCATCAGGCATTAAATTAGTCCTAAAGAAATTGCTTTCCGATTTAGATTATTATTACAGTAGCCTGGAGTCAATGTACAACCTACGTGCTGCATTAGTGCTTTTGCCTAAAAAGGTTTTGTATGGATGTACAGTAGCAACAGTAAAAACGGTAATATGTTATTCTGGAGAAGAGCATCTCATTTCATGAAGAAAATTTGATTAACCACTAGAGGGAGGCATTACATCACTATACCAGCACTCCTAAATCAATGGTTGCAATGCCATATACAACTATTCAGTTTTTACCGCAAAATAAATATCTTTATTCTGTGAGACAGAATTCTGCCAATGCATGTAAATACAGAAGGGTGAGCACTTCTGTATTCATATGTATTGCCAGCATTCTATCTCACAGGAATGGGGAGATTTCTTTTGTTCAGATTGATGATTAGGTCGGCCCGCGGCACAGGCGAATTAGGTTACTGTCTAGGGCCCCAAGGCCGCCAGGAGGCCCCCTCAATGTGCAACGCAACATATTTTTAATTGGCACGTTCAAATGTGAGCGAAATAAAATCCTTTTAGCAGCTCTTTCTGTTGCTGCTGTGGATTACCCTAATGGAAGCCCAGTCTTCCAAAAATGACCAATCAAAATAGAGTGCGCAATGTTTCTGAAGCCAGGAATAGAAGAGCAGGATCGGCGGTCCCAAAACAGAACTACGCCTAATCAAGTCATTGGCAATGCATGATATGTGCAATAATGTAATCATTTGTATTTATTTTGGTTTTATGTCTGTCAGATCAACAACACTAGCAAACATGTCACATTTTCAAAGTCCGTTCGGCGATTAGACATTAAAACGTATTGTTTTCCTTGCGGTTTCTCCTGTATTTTATTAAATGGAAGTATCGTGAACTTAACCTACTGTATAGCCCTTCAGATTGCAGTCTCTCTCCCAGTGACAGCAGCCGAAGCAGAGAGGAGCTTTTCAGAGCCTACGTTGATTAAAACATGCAGTACCTGAGGTCGAAAATATAGGCAAATTGATGTATAGAATATTTTTTTCTTTGTTTTTATTTCTGCAATTCATTTCTACAAAGATTTCAATGCTGTAATATATAAGTTATGATTTGCTAAAATTTTGAAGTTACAATCATTATTTATTGTCAGTAATTCTCCTTTTTATTACTTTCAAAGTTAAAATGCGTCACCTTTGTAAAACGTGTGTCGTGTGTTCTTGTTTATAAGTTATGTACTGTATTCTTCCAAGCTGCTTAAGAAAAGGTTTCTAGTTATGTAATTAATTTTATTGTTTGAAATAGTAAAATAAGATTTTGTTAGGAACTGATAATAGTTGTTATCAGTTGCAAACTGTGATCTGGGCCCCTTTCCAAGTTCTTGCCTAGGGCCCCAAAAAGCTAGGGGCTTTTGCATATGAGATCCAAAACAGATTTCCTAATTGAAGTTAGTGGTTCAAAGCTTTTCAGCTTCACATTGTCTTAATGTGACCTTCCACAGATTTTGCGGTGTAAAATATACTGCTCAGGACTTTTTGGCTGTGTTCATTAGCATTGCTGTTTTAAGTTTTTGATTACAGAAACTGCTTGTTTGCAAAATAAATACATGACGATCCAATCTACTGAATGGGAGTACGGCAAGAAAAATTGGAATTCTTTCCCCTTTGACCTTGAATTGACACAGCACAATCCTGTGGGAATTTCTTTGTTTTTTTTACCTAAAGAAGGTCTTTATTCAACAGTGGCATTTTCATCAGTGTAAATTGTGTCAGAAGGAAAGGTCAGATTAATTTTACAAGGATACAGAGAATCTTAATCTTTAATTTTCATAGCCGATGGATACTGTGCATATGTACAGTATACTCTGATTTGCTTTTCTCTGATCTCCCCTGAGCATACAATGAAATAAAGAAGGTCTCAGAATGCAGACTCTATT